CAGCACTTGTGAGCTGGCTGAAACCCAGGACCTTCTCACGAACCCTTGGTTCTGCACATGAACCCAGCAAAGCATCGAAGCAAGTCCAGCGACTTTCCACAGTCACATGACAGTCAGAAATGTCCAAGCAACAATGGAGTCAAAGTCCAGATTTCTCTGGCTTTCACTTTTTCAACTTACCAAAGGCCAATTGGACTAAATACACATAACAGAGTTTGTCTGCCTCATCGTTTTGTGTGTGTGTGTGTGTGTGTGTGTGTGTGTGTGTGTGTGTGTAGGGAGCTGTGTATGTTTTCGTGTGGTTTGCATGCATGCATTTGCATGTACCATGTGGAGGCCAGTCAAAGGGCTTCTGGATCTGCCCATCGCAGTGTTCCCTGCCCCACACCCATTCTGCCATTATAGGTGTGTGCATGCCCGGCTTTCACCTGGTTGCTGGGGCTAGAACCCGGGTCCTCACGATTGTGTTACAGGCGCTCCGCCAACTGAGCCGTCTCCTCGCCCAGAGCGTCATAATTTTAGAGCATGAAGTTCAGTGGTACACACATTTGCCACCATCCAGCTGCAGGGCTTTGTAAATCTGGAGCTACTGAAATTCTGTCCCTGCTAAATGCCAACTCTACTAACCACCCTCAACCTCAGCCCCTTCTACTTCTGTATTCCTACTACCGGAAAATCTTCTTTTCTTTGAGACAGGGTTTCTCTGTGTAGCCTTGGCTGTCTTCTGTCCTGGACTTTCTCTACAGACAAGGCTGGCCCAAACTCACAGAAAATCTGCTGCACTCACTTTTAAACTGTTTTATTATGGGTGTTTAGGCCTCTACCTCTTTTCACCAACCTTTTAACCCTAGGTAAGAAAGAAGGTTAGTGGGGAAAGGGGGCACAAACCCCTCTACTTCTCCTGGCTGTTTAGGGTCTGTGGGTTCTTTGGGGGCTACACCAATCTCTGTCAATAGCAAACACAGCAAGCAGTCTCCTCTTGAAACATTTTTCTCCTTCTGGCTCCTCCAAGCCACCACACGGTCCGTCTCTGCTTTCTCTAAACTGCCATGGTCTCTTTCTGGGCTCTTGTATTTATATCCCTCAGAACCCTAGACCACACCTCTCTCTGTGCTGCATGAGGCAGGCCGTTACCAGCTGGCAAAGACCACGCCCCACAGGAGGCAATTATCAGCTGTGGACAAACTAAAGCCCAAATTTAAATCCCACACTTGGGATTAAAACAAAAAAATTTACATAACATAACTGAATTTTTAAAGAAGCCACACTTCTATTACAGAAATTCCCCCTCCCTCTGCCTCCCCAAGTGCCGGGATTATAGGCGTGTTCCGCCACACCTGACTACTTCAAATTCTTAATAACTTGACTTCTTGGGAACCTTGTATGGTGGGAGCCTACAGTACCTGCCTTTTTTGTGTTTGCCTAACTTCTCTGCACAGAGTCCTCAAGGTTGCAGCGTTGTTAGCATTCCCTTCCTTTTTAAGGCTAATAATATTAAGTTTAATGCTGGAAATTTGAACAGCCTGGCATCCTCAGATGCCTTTCCAGAATGACCACTAGGGGGCAGTAAAAGATGCAGAAAATTTTCAACAAGCCTTCTGAATGCCAAGCAACCCAGTCGGGCACACTCAGAGTATCTCTCTCAGCCATCCGTGTATACAGTTACAAGATAATGGATTTCACATCCGACAGCAGAGTTGGATAAACCAGAGATACCATCAGCTGTAGTTTAAGAGCCGTCTCCCTCACATTCTGGCCAACTCTAAGGCATAGAACTTCATTTCAGATAGTGGCTTCAGATGGTATTGTGGCTTAATTCACTTTAGTCTGGTGGTTCTGAGTGCGCACCTCAGAATCCAGAATCCAGACATATCCAGAGGGTGAGGTTGGGACCAGGGATAGAAACTGTATTTACATCAGTCATTGGAGGGGAACGTGTCTACTGAGCAAAACCAGCAATCAGAGGATATGAATTCTGATATTTTTTTCCCTTTGTTAAAGAAGTGAGGGGACTAAAAATATAGAAACCTCATTTTCTAGACCTAGCACTTGTGTTTGGAGGCCAGAGGTCAAAGCCAAGATGTCTTTCTCAATTGCTTTTCACCCTTTCTGTGTTTGAGACAAGGTCTTTGAGTCTGAAGCTCAGCAGTTCAGCTAGGCTGGCCGGCCCAAGAGCCCTGTGGATCCTCTTAGCTGGCCCACTAGCCCCAGGATGCTCCTGTCTCTGCCTCCCTGGCACTGGGATTAGAAGCTTACACCACCATCTCCAGTGTTTTTTTTATGTGGGGATGAAACTCAGGTCCTGTTCGCATAGCTGTTACTATAGTGACTGAGCCAGGCTGTGACACCTACTTCTGAACATACTAGGAGCCCAGACAGATGATTTGAAGCTGGGGTATACTGGAAAGCTCAGGATCCACAGACACAGTTCTGACACAGCCATATCCCAGGGTGAGGTGAGAGCCCAGCCATCAATAATGTCTGAGTTACTAAGATAGTCTTTCCCGCAGTAATCAGAAAAACAGCTTTGATTTTATCATATCAAGAGTAAAAATGGCACAGCGAACCTGAGGTGGGATCAAGAGACATGGGTTCTCATTCTAACTGTCCCTCTAGCCAGTTATGGGACCCCAGGCAAATCCCATCCCTTCTCTCAGCCTCAGCCTCCCCTTTGAATTATGAGTGGGTGGGATGATATGGGTCTCCAAGGATCCTCTTGGTTCTGAAAATTCAACGATTCTATTAGAATTAATAATCTTGATTTGTAATGACGACTCTGGCAAAGAGCAGAAGAAATATTTAACAGTGTAATGAATGACAGAGCCTATTGACCATGTAGTTTAATTTATTTAAGGCACATACCCTGAATTCAAAGGAGAAAATATCACTCCTGATAATAGATTGAACTGTTACTATCATCTGCCTAGCAAAAGCTTTCCAGAGGGAAAAATTACCCATCAGTGCAAACTTGACATTTTTCACTCGCTGATCCATGGCTGCCATTTGTCCATGGCCCTCATATTTACTGTAAAGGCCATGCATGTGGATGCCTTGGATGAATATTAAATAACGACATAAACGTCAAGGTCACCGTTGCAGAAAAGGCTCTGCAGGGGGTCCAAGAGCCAGCTTTGATCTCTTGTGGAGTTCCATTCTGGGATCCTGCTGACATGGGGGAAACAATTGATGTGAACCATTATTAAGGCTTTAAGTGTTTCTCCATTGTTAAGGATCTTTTACAAGCCCAAGGAATCGGCAAAAGCTTCAGTTAGAAATATAGGCCAGTCAGAGATAAGTACATTCCAGAGTGCAGAGGGCTGGGGTCAGGCTTACACAGCAAGGCAAAGGCTGATGGGAGGCCAGCACTCCACCATCATCGACTCAGCCTGCCTGCCGGGCGCTGCTCTTGGTGACAGCTCAGGGCAGAGCTCCCACAGCAGGAGCTGCAGAGAGCCAGGTGTCCATCTTCACATGTCCCCAAGGAAAGCCGCCTCTCTTGACATTCTGGTCCCTCTCCTTCTGTAGCTTTGCAAAGCACCGGGACAAAGGCACCTGGTTGTCTCAGGCTGTCTGAGTGCTGAGCCTGGCTGCTTTGTAAAGAATAGAAATGTATGGCTTTCAGCTCCAGGGGCTCAGAAGCCCAATGTCAAGATGCTGGAAGCTGGCGAGGGGCCTTCCTACTGCGCCATAAGGAGACAGAGCACCATAGGACAGGGCATGGCAAATATGGTAGCTGCCGTGGGGGGATGCTGGTCGCTCTCCCTTTTTAATGAAGCTGCCAGTGCTATCATGGGGCTCCACTCTCATGGCATCTCTGACTTTACCTTGCCAAGTCTCTTGAGAAGCCATCAATATATGCATATAGGGGTTAAGTTTCCAGCGTGTGAGCTTCAGGGGAGCACCTAGAAGCCATAGCCTAGAGGAATCAGGTACCTATAAATTATACACAACCACAGGTCCAGATCTGGCCTGGCCAAGTGCCTGGATGGTCACAGGAGTGTCCTGCTGACTTGGATCTGGGAGAAGGACAGCTGCTGCAGAGAACAGAACCTAGTTCCCAAAAGGTCCAGACCAATCGAGGGATTGGTCAAGTCTGTGAGATACACACGATAAACCAGAAAGCCTGTCTCTCCTGTGCTAGCTCAGGGTTTGGTACTGTGCCTGGCCCTTTGTGTAGTCCCATTGAGTACTGAAAGGAACATAGAGGCCCAGGACTTTAGAGTCATCGGTCCTGGACTGTCTCCACTGTGCCACCTCCCCAAGGGAAACTGGCTAGCTTATCTTCTCATTGAGTCCTTAGCCTGCTCAGACGGTCAGATGCTTGCCTTGCATGCACAGGGTCCAGCACCACATGGGCAGGTGTGATATTTGCTTATCCAAAATCCTAGCACTTGGGAGGTGAAAATGTATGGTCAGGAATTCAAGGTCATCGTCAGCTATAGAGCCAGTTCAAGGCCAGACCAGATAAGATACCCTGTCTCAAAACAAACAAGATCCAGGAGTTAAAAAAAAAAAAAAAAATCTTAGTTCTATTTAACAGGTATAAAAGGGAGATGGAGAGAGTTCACTCTGATAAATGACAGCACCAGGGCTTAAATCCAGGAAGGCTTACTCTTTTCTCTCACACACAGCAACAGCTGCATCCCTCCCTAATACCCGTTTTCTGGGAGCGTTGGATGAGGTAACCGGTGTAAGGCACCTGATTCCTGGCACATCACAGGTGTTCCAATTGTATAAGCCACTGCTACTCTTCTTAGTTACATGACCTGTAAAAGAACACAACTAAGGATTGGTGAAGTGACCCGAACTCAGGTCTTGGGACTGCCTTTCTAATCCATATTCCACCTCACTCTTGAGTACAAGACTGAGGACAAGTCCCATGTCACCGTACCCCACCCACACCCCCTCCCCAACAGTGTCATCTCCGTGGAGGATGCCTAGTGAGCATTCAGGAAGGAGTAATCTCCGACAGCGCTAACGGTTCTCTTCCTCCCTCCCAGGTCCGAACGGTGAAAGACGGTGACCCCACCTGGAAGCCTACTTTTATTGTGAAACCAGATGGTGGTTGTCAGGGTGATGGAATTTACCTCATTAAAGATCCCAGTGACACTCGCCTGACTGGGACCCTCCAGAGCCGGCCGGCAGTGGTCCAGGAGTACATTCGCAAGCCTCTCCTGATTGACAAGCTCAAGTTTGACATCCGTCTCTACGTCTTGCTAAAGTCCTTGGAACCCTTAGAGATTTATATAGCCAAAGATGGACTCACTAGATTTTGTACAGAGCCATATCAAGAGCCCAACCCCCATAATCTGCACCATATCTTTATGCACTTGACCAACTACTCACTGAATATCCACAGTGGCAAGTTCGTCCACTCCGACTGCGCCAGCACGGGCAGCAAGCGGACCTTCTCCAGCATCCTTTGTAGACTGTCTTCCAAAGGCGTGGACATCAGGAAGGTCTGGTCTGATATCATCTCCTTAGTTATTAAGACTGTCATCGCCCTGACCCCGGAGCTCAAAGTTTTCTACCAGTCAGACATCCCGACAGGGAGGCCGGGGCCCACATGCTTCCAGGTAACCGTGCCACTTCCCATCCTGACTTCTGGCCCTGACTGGGCTGAGGACAGGCTTCCCGTCCTGCTGTGGAATGAAGGATGGATAGGCTGGCCAGGGGTGGGGGTACAGGCCACGGCTGCTATGGGCCTTTGTGTCAAACCTCCTGCCCAACTTCCATCTTTCTCTTTTCTAGGTGGCTTGGGGCAAGCTACTCTCCCCCCATTTAACTATAAATCTGTGAGCTCCTTGTGAGAGCACATATATTGTGCATCCATTCTTCAGTCATTGAACAGTTATCTTCTACTTAAGTAGGGTGTCAGGCATTGTTGTAGAATACTGCTGTCCATTGCCAAGCATCCATAGTGGTAGAAAGCCATTAAGAAGCCATTTATAGGGGCTGGAGAGATGGCTCAGAGGTTAATTTAAGAGCACTGGCTGTTCTTCCAAAGGCCCTGAGTTCAATTCCCAGCAACCACATGGTGGCTCACAACCATCTGTAATGAGATCGGGTGCCCTCTTCTGGCACGCAGGCACAAATGCAGGCAAAACACTGTATAAATAATTAATAAATGATAAAAAGAAGCCATTTATACAAAGTGTTACAAGTGATAGAATAAAACAGGAAATGGAGCAGGTACTGTGGGATTTTGGACCCATCTACCATTCCTGGATCCATACAGATAGGTTTCTAGAAAGAAAGCCAAGATAAGGGATGGAGCAGGGATAGGTATAGCTACAGAATGTTGTAGGTGAAGACATGTTGCTTTGGAAGGAAGAGGGAAGCCTGGTATGTTTGAGGCACCGGTGTGGCTTAGGGGTGAATTTTGAGGCATATGAAACTCATGCCTCAAAAGATGAGAAGATGAGGTGGGGGAAGCAGGTTAGGCCCAGGTTGTGGAGAACCTGGGTCAGTGGCCACCATCAGATGATTATAAACGGGTTGGACTGCACTCAGATTGCTAATTCTCCAGTGTGCAGTTTCATGATCTGTGGGTTATGGAATACGCTAAGGCTGGCTTCGAGGAGCTTGCTAATGAGATAAATGCTTTTGTACAAGCAGAAGATGCTGGCTCTGAATAGGAAGGTCTTGATAGGCATGGAGAGAATATGTACAGCTGAGTCCCACTTAAGGACAGTGGGTGGTTAGACTCGCTGACTGTGGGTCTGGGGAAGGAGAATAGTTGGTGGCAAAGAGAAGGGGAGGAACTGAGATAGAACACATATCTGGGCTCTTAAAAAGATGGATGGAGGTTGTAGGAAAGGATCAGGCTAGCAGGGAAGGGCCAGATATCTGGGCTGGCATCTGGGAAAGACAGGGGAGGGCTAGAAAAAGGGCTGGAAACTCATCCACAGCAGTGACTGAAGGCATGAGGACCCTGTCACACCTCCACTTAACAGAAGGATGGACAGGGACAAGGAACCAACAAAGGCTGAGAAGTTTGGTCAACGTTGGTGAACATGTTGGAAATGCCAAGAAAGAGGTACTCAGAGAATACCAGGGCAAGGGCCTGCAACCTCAAACATTGCCAGGGTGCCAGGCAAGACTGTCCTGGGAGCTGTCCATTATGCTCTCTGACACCTGTCCTGGGGACTCCAGCGAGAACTGTCTTGGGCAACCAGCCAGTTTGTGAGAGAGAAGGAAATGGAGAATGATATAGAACAACTTAAAAACATAGCTCTCCGGGGTGAGACAGGGGCCCAGAGACCAGGCACTTACTCAGCAAGCTCTTCCTGACACCTGATCTGTCAGACCAGGCAAGAGAAGATAATATGAACCTCTGGGAACCTCTCAATCTAATCTTTGAAATTGTTGCATAGCAGTGTGTGTCCGTGTGTGTGTGTGTGTGTGTGTATGTGTGTGCGTGCATGTGTTCTTCCCTGTTGCATCTCCTGCTTGTCTTCATTATAGCCACTATTCTGAATGTTATGTTGGACATCTGAATTTTCAAATCTGCATGTGGTCATGCATGAATGCTCCTCCAGGCAGGACACTGTCTTATCTGACTTGCTTCTGAGCCTCATAAAAGCCCCCAGTCTCCTGAAGCACATGCCCCTTCATGGGTAACATTTCAAAGGTCGGTCCCATTCCTGGGGCTGGTAGGATGGCTTTGTTTGCACTGGTGTGTACCACATAAATATGCACAGTTGTTTTTCTTTTAATCCTTTTTTTTTCTGGCCAGGAGGATCTGGGTGTTTCCTGGCTGTGCTCTGAGGGCCCCAGGCAAAAAGGAATGAGTGAGGAGAGGGGTTGAAGCAGCATCTCTCACAGATGGACACCCATTCACCAATGCACAAGCAGGCTGGGTAGCCCCAAGTCCAGAGAGGCTGCTCAAGGGCTGGTCCCCCATCAGCAGGGTAAATCAGGTGAAAGCCCCTGAAAAGGAATCGAGGAAGTGTGAGAAGCAGGAAGTGGAAATTATCCTCTAGAGTCCCACCCATGGCCATCTGCCCCACCACCACTACAAGGATCTTCTGTTCCTAAGCATGTCCAAGAGCGCTGAGGAGCTGGTTAAGAAGGGCAGGCGAGGAAGACCTCAAGGCAGTACCAGAGAAAGGAAGTACTGACCCAGGCCACCACAAAGTGGAGGCAGAGGAGACACTCGTGCTGTGGTCACACGCAGGGTCCATCCCCGAGGATGTGGTGGTCATGCCTGCTGGGCAGTGACAGCTATTCTAGGAGTATCACAGGGGGTCAGGCGAGCATGGCCAAACCGCAGAGCCCCAGCAAGGCCACAGCAGCACAGCAGGGGGTACTGGGATGGCCATTATGTACCTGTCTTGCAGTAGACAGGCAACAATAGGCAGCCATCAGGGCTGGGGCAGAGTGGGCTGTAGGGGACTGAAGGCCCAGATTGGGAGCCCCTGGTGTAGTCAGGTCACATCTAGGAAGCTGGGCGCAGAGCCTCATGACCATTTGCCACTGCTTGGCCACACTAAATGCTTCCAGACCCAGGGAGAGAAGACAGGGGTGAATGAATGAAAAAGCTGGGGGTGACCTTTCCAGCTTTGTGAGTGTTGGAGTCTTTCTCAGCACCCAATGGCTCCCAGCTTCTCTCTGCTCAAACCTGTGTGGGCGCATTGGTAAGTGATGTGGGTGATGAAAAGGCTCTAGAAGGTGTCAGGGGGTATCTGCTTAGCATTTGTCGGCCATGAGGCTCAGAGACACAGTTGAGGGAGAGGAATTGGTCCCCAAGTCCCAGCCACTCTTGCTTGCTTTGTTTGACTTGCTTTTTAGGATGCAAAAAGCCTAAAGCTGGGCTCCAGACACCTGAGCAGACCTCGAGTAGGTTTCCCACGATGTGGTTCTGAGGTCTACTTACCATGAGACCATGTCAGTCCCTTAACTCTGTGGGGGAACTCAGTTTCCTCATCTGCCTCACAGGGTTGGCAACCCATGAGATAAGGATTACGAAGCACCTTGCAAAGCGCCGAGGCTCCGCACAAATTCGGGAAGTCACTTCTCTGCTGGGTACCTCTTCCTGCTTGTAGAAAGGCCTGGCCAGATGGCAGCATTGCAGAACATAAATTCTAGGCAAGCAAACTGCACTCCTCAGGGGCATGTGACTGTGACCCTGTTCTAGCCACGACCACAGTAATGGCTTGGAAAACATGGTGGCCAGGCAACAGCTGGCACGGCTCAGTTGTGGTCAGATTTCCTGTAATCTGCTGCTGAGGAACACAGCTGCCCTGTCATTCCTGCCTCTCCCTTGTCATTTCCCAGGCTGCGCCAGCCACAGAGCCTCACATCTGCTGTCCTGAGGGCAGCAGTGTGACCCCAGCTTAAATATCAAGGTCAGCCCGGGTGTAGATGATCATGTGGCAGAAACACACACACAGAGGGCGGGCTTCTGTTTGCCTCTCAGGAAGGTTCTGCCCAACTCTGTGGCTTGGTCTGTATATTTTTCTTGTTCCGCATGTCTATTTCCGTCCCGGCCATGACCCTCCTGCTGGGTGTCTAGAGATTTAGCTTTCCTAAGGCCTGGCATGAGCCTCTTTCTCCACTATTCTCTGCCCTCTTCCTCACCTCACACTTCACCAGGAAGAAGCTGAGAATTAGGACAGGAGGCGGGGGTCAAGGGGGCAAGGGCTGGTTTTCCTTCTCAGATGCACTGGCTTTGAGCTCCTCCCAGCTCCAGTTTACAACAACTGTAGCTGGCGAGCTTAATAACTGTAGCTGGCGACCTTTCCCATTCTGGCTTTCCTTAGTTACAAGTAGCGAGCAAGCTTGTAGCTCCATCCCAGAGCTGTTGCATGTTCCAATAAGAAGCTGTGCAGAACAGCCCATAACACACCACAGTCACTTAGTAAGCGAGAGGCTGGGTGTTTATACACTGGTTGTTCCCGGTGACAATACTTCTCACACCTACCCACGAGGAAGGACCTTGAAGTTTTGATGAAGTGGCAACTGTTCTCATTTTAATGCTAACTGCGACACTGGTGTTCCAAGTTTGGAACTGAGTTTGGAAACGAAGCCCTTAGGCTGGCATTCATCACCTCCCAGCCTGCTTTCTAGCTTGCCTGCACCTCAGCCTTGGTGCTCCACAGCACACCAGGTCTGCTTCCTCCCCCATGGGGCATCTCTGGTGCTTTCCTGGTTATGCCACTGGTTCTCCTCTGTCTTGACCAGCCTGGGCTGTTCTCTCCTCTTCCCTGGTTCCTATATTCAATGCCTTCCAAAGTGTAGCTTGAGACCTTCTTTCTCTGCAAAGCCTTCCTTGGCCATCCGACCACTAAGTCATTTTCTTCCTTTAGAATCTAGCATGTTCCCTGGGTACCCACTGAGATGAGGCCTGAGGCAGGTGTGTGGCATATGGCTAAGGACAGTGCCTGGAAGGGGTGCTTCATTTAGTGTGGAAGATTCACAGAGATGCTCACCATTCCTTGTCCTTCATGCTGTCCAAGGGCGCACAACAGGAAGGGGTGGGGGGGGGAGTTAACTGCCCAGGAGAAGGCTCTCAGTGGAGAGGATGCCCAAGTGAGTTCAACACATGAAGAAGATTTCCCTAGCAGATGGTGAG